TGGCCTCTCTCTGGTCTCTCTCTCTGGCCTCTCTCTCTGGTCTCTCTCTCTGGCCTCTCTCTGGTCTCTCTCTCTGGTCTCTCTCTGGTCTCTCTCTCTGGTCTCTCTCTCTGGTCTCTCTCTCTGGCCTCTCTCTGGTCTCTCTCTGGTCTCTCTCTCTGGCCTCTCTCTGGTCTCTCTCTCTGGTCTCTCTCTCTGGCCTCTCTCTGGTCTCTCTCTCTGGCCTCTCTCTGGTCTCTCTCTGGTCTCTCTCTCTGGTCTCTCTTTCTGGCCTCTCTCTGGTCTCTCTCTGGTCTCTCTCTCTGGCCTCTCTCTGGTCTCTCTCTCTGGTCTCTCTCTCTGGCCTCTCTCTCTGGTCTCTCTCTCTGGTCTCTCTCTGGTCTCTCTCTCTGGTCTCTCTCTCTGGCCTCTCTCTCTGGTCTCTCTCTCTGGTCTCTCTCTCTGGTCTCTCTCTGGCCTCTCTCTTTCTCTGTCCCTGGTCTCTCTCTCTCTCTGGTCTCTCTCTCTGGTCTCTCTCTGGTCTCTCTCTCTGGTCTCTCTCTCTGGCCTCTCTCTGGTCTCTCTCTCTGGCCTCTCTCTCAGGTCTCTCTCTCTGGTCTCTCTCTGGTCTCTCTCTCTGGTCTCTCTCTCTGGTCTCTCTCTCTGGCCTCTCTCTGGTCTCTCTCTGGTCTCTCTCTCTGGTCTCTCTCTCTGGCCTATCTCTGGTCTCTCTCTCTGGCCTCTCTCTGGTCTCTCTCTGGTCTCTCTCTCTGGTCTCTCTCTCTGGCCTCTCTCTGGTCTCTCTCTGGTCTCTCTCTCTGGCCTCTCTCTGGTCTCTCTCTCTGGCCTCTCTCTGGTCTCTCTCTCTGGTCTCTCTCTCTGGTCTCTCTCTCTGGCCTCTCTCTCTGGTCTCTCTCTCTGGTCTCTCTCTGGTCTCTCTCTCTGGTCTCTCTCTCTGGCCTCTCTCTCTGGTCTCTCTCTCTGGTCTCTCTCTGGTCTCTCTCTCTGGCCTCTCTCTGGTCTCTCTCTCTGGTCTCTCTCTCTGGCCTCTCTCACTGGTCTCTCTCTCTGGTCTCTCTCTCTGGCCTCTCTCTCTGACCTCTCTCTCTGACCTCTCTCTCTCTCTCTCTCTCTGGCCCCTCTCTCTGACCTCTCTCTTTCTCTGTCCCTGGTCTCTCTCTCTCTCTCTCTCTCTCTCTCTCTCTCTCTGTCCTCTCAGAGTAATACTTTTAGTCTTCTCAGAATCACAATTATTTCCATTTTAATTAACAGGAAGTCAAAAACTTAGAATTTGCTTTGACTCTATCGGTAAAACTGAGTAAAACTGAGTAAAACTGAGTAAAACTGATGGAGAGAAGAATCAAAAATCGTTCCAACATTTCCCCTTCAGTCCAGCCTTTCTGTGCGTGACTTCAGAACGTATCAGTTTTCTCAAAGCTTGTTCGGACTCCGCGTGGACAGGAGTCAGCGGCTACACTTCCTCATCGCTGTGACGTGTGGCTCTCCCCTTTTTTCGGCATTTCCTGTCACATAAATAACACTGTATAATAATTAGTCAGGTCTGCAGGTTCCGAGGTCCTGCTCCGTCTCTCAGGCTGATTGAAAGTGTTGCAACAGGGCTCAGAATGTGGAGGATCCGGTGACGCCCCGGGCAGGAGTGGGTAAAGCGATCCCACCTTTTTGGGCCTCAGTGAACTTCAAAAGAACCGTGTGATCCGTGGCTAAAAAGAAACCTGAACACATTAAGAGAAAAAAGCAGGATAGAAAAAAAAGCTGACGTTTAGCTGAGATAAAGAGGCAATCAATTTGAACCTAAGGAGAAAAGAGGCCTTGATGAATTGCTTATTGAGTGGATAAACTGTGTATAGAGCTTAGGTAAATTTGCTGAAATGAAAAAACCAAGTGAGGCCATTGTCAACGTGTTCCCTGCACAATATAGCTCCATCTAAATAATATGCAAAACATGAAAATAGTTTGAAGGATGAATTAATATATCATACATCATACATAGTCTTGTGTTTCATTAAACTGGCCTGTAGGGGGCGCATGAGCAGAGGTGGGACAGTTTAGCTCTCATTGAAAACCATGTAAAGTCTGTTTTGGAGTCAAGGCTCTCCTCCTGTGCGGTGTACGGTTGTTGGAACAGTCTTAATCGGGGACACTCAATTCTAAGGAAGGACTAACAAATATTTCTCAAAAGAGTCTTGATTTTGGGCATTTTTGGAAAGAAAAACAGAAGAAATTGCTGCGTTTCATTGGGGTGGCCTGCAGGGGGCGCTTATCTGGGAAAGCCTTGATCCACCTCGCCCGAGGTGAGACCACAGTTGGAACATGAACAAACTCTGGTCTTTCTCTATTTGTGCGGTTGCTACAAGCGTACACTGCACAAAAAGATGGCATTTTGACAGCGCTTCTTCTTCTACTGTATCTCTGTGTATAAACCGCTTCTTCTTCTACTATATCTCCGTGTATAAACCCGGCAGACTGCAGCGCCAGGATACGTCACGTCCTGTCCCACGTTTGTTATTCGTGCCACTGCCCTGACGTCATATGAAACCCAAGAATACTCAACTTACAATGTGAACTAATATAAATCTAATTATATGTAAAGTGCTAAAGTCAGAACACCTGCCTGTGAAAGCCACATCCCGTCAGAAATAAACAGGGCATGGTCTGAATACAAACTAGGTCTAGACTTATTTGGATTCTTTTTAAGCACCAATCGGCATCAGTTGTTTCATGTTTTGAATGACTTCGGTTAAAGTCATCCGATGCTGATTCGGTGGTGATGGTTGATTGTTGTAATAATCCCACTGACATTGAATTAGCATCTTAATCAGGTGACATTTCAGAACAACCTTTACAAACAGGCTTGTGTTACCGCGGCCGACAAACCCGTTAGGAAGCGTGAACGTATCAGTCGTAAGCCACACCGTGATGTGACCCCGCAGCCGTCCGCCCCCGAGAACATAAGAACCGCCCTCGAAACAAGCTCCGGGCAGACGTTACAGGAGCTAACACGGCTCTCCACACTGCAAAAAATGATCAAATATGAGATAATTACTAGAATCGAGTTTTTTTTAACTTGACTTAAGTTCATTCTGACTGTCTTAAAATGAGATTTGCCAATGAGACAAGCAATTTTGACTTGATTCAAGAACTATTGCTTTATTTTCTCATTCCAAGAGAGAAATGTCTTGTATCTTTTTAAAACAAGACCATTTTTCTTGTTCCACTGGAAAATCTTGTTTTAAGGCAGTCAAAATGTGCTCAAATTTAGATACATTTAGCCAAATTTGAGCATTTTTTTGTCTTTAATTCTGTCATCTTTTGCAGTGCACGTCCATTTTCAACCGTGGTTATCTCCGTCATGGTCCTGTCCTCCGCATGAGACCCTCGGGACCCCCTCCCACCCCCCAGGCCTGAAGCTGCTCCACGTACTGCAGCTGAAGGTTCGTCTGATCTGCAAGAGACCTGGAAGTCTGGAATGATCCTGTGAATCTGTGTCCAATCCAACCCACTCCATTTACTCTGTTTATGGCTCATTTTATAAAACACGTTTCCAAAGCGCTGCACAGATAAAAGTGACACATTAAAATATAAAAGTCAGCCAGCTTTAAATAAAACAACAAAAATGAAATTGATGTTTTAATGCGACTGCAAAGTACTTCTTAATCTGCAACACTACGGAAGATTATTGCACAGTCCCATATTTATTTTTCAGTATGCAATATCTGTGTGTGTTGGATTTTTTCTTTTACCTAAGGACCTCTCTCTGGTCTCTCTCTGGTGTCTCTCTGGTCTCTCTCTGGTCTCTCTCTGGTCTCTCTCTGGTCTCTCTTTGGTCTCTCTCTGGCCTCTCTCTGGTCTCTCTCTCTGGTCTCTCTCTCTGGCCTCTCTCTGGTCTCTCTCTCTGGTCTCTCTCTGGTCTCTCTCTGGTCTCTCTCTGGTCTCTCTCTGGTCTCTCTCTGGTCTCTCTCTGGTCTCTCTCTGGTCTCTCTTTGGTCTCTCTCTGGTCTCTCTCTCTGGCCTCTCTCTGGTCTCTCTCTGGTCTCTCTCTCTGGTCTCTCTCTGGTCTCTCTCTCTGGTCTCTCTCTGGTCTCTCTCTCTGGTCTCTCTCTGGTCTCTCTCTGGTCCCTCTCTGGTCTCTCTCTGGTCTCTCTCTGGTCTCTCTCTCTGGTCTCTCTCTGGTCTCTCTCTGGTCTCTCTCTCTGGACTCTCTCTCTGGTCTCTCTCTGGTCTCTCTCTCTGGACTCTCTCTCTGGTCTCTCTCTGGTCTCTCTCTGGTCTCTCTCTCTGGTCTCTCTGTATTGTATTGTGTCCTTAATAAAGATGAATAATAATAATAATAATAACATTCTATACTGTGTTGTTTTTGTGTATTTACGATTGTGTTGCATTGAGAGGCCCTTGTATGTCTGTGTCTGGCAGAGTCTACGACATGCACAGTCGTAATGGGCAGAATCTCAATGAGACTCAGTCAAATCTTGGCATTTCGTCCCCGCCCCCTATGGACCAATGTATATCCTGTATATGTTTGTTATTATTGCACTGTATGAGTTTGAGGTTCTCTGATCTGAGAAATGGACAACTTTGTAAAGTCCTCCGAAACGACCGCTGTTGTGATTTAGGGCCTTGATCAAGTCCGGTTTTGTTCTACATCTATGACAGTTTCGCAGATGGACCACACATCTGAGACCCGAGGTTTTTAGTGAAGTTTCCCTTTTATTCCACATCAAACAGCAGGTGTGAGATCAGTGTGAGATCAGTGTGAGAGCGAAAGGTTCCTGCGGGTGCTAGCATACCGCTCTGACCGGACCGGGGTGTGAAGCCGGCGGCTAATGTGGCTAATCCTAAATCACTGCCTCGACTTGAAGCGGATCCGGTTACGTCCTTGCCACTGATGCCGCTCTAATGGGGCCTTTTGTTTGTCAGGATCTACATGTGCATGAGGTGCGGGTCAGAGCGGGTTCAAAGGGGCCACAGGCTTTAATGTCAACAACGCAGCTGTGTTTGCACAAATGTCGTCTGAAGTGAAGGACCACAGAGAGAGGGGCCGCCGTGAGGTCATTTCCATCTGCAGGACGCCGCCCAAAAACACACAACTCGGGTTAGACGTCTGCTGTGGAGCCATAGACTGTGTACGGATGGATGATGCTAACCGGTAGCTAGCCACCCCCTTCCGAGTAGCTCCCCAAAGGATTTAGATGTTACAGAGAATCCTTGACCATATTTCATGTTTGTTTTGGCTACACCTGCTACACATCGTTCGTTTTGTGCATTCAAGTTTATTTGTGTAGTACAGTTTCAAGACAGAAGGTTAACAAAAGAAAAGAAAGATGAAAATCAATAAATAATTCCCATAACCTAAAATTTAAAAAAAACAATATTGAATCTTTAGTGTCTCTGGTCTCTCTCTGGTCTCTCTCTGATCTCTCTGGTCTCTCTCTGGTCTCTCTCTGGTCTCTCTCTGGTCTCTCTCTGGTCTCTCTCTGGTCACTCTGATCTCTCTGGTCTCTCTCTGGTCTCTCTCTGGTCTCTCTCTGGTCTCTCTCTGGTCTCTCTCTGGTCTCTCTCTGGTCTCTCTCTGATCTCTCTGATCTCTCTCTCTGGTCTCTCTCTGGTCTCTCTCTGGTCTCTCTCTGGTCACTCTCTGGTCTCTCTCTGGTCTCTCTCTGGTCTCTCTCTGGTCTCTCTCTGGTCTCTCTCTGGTCACTCTCTGGTCTCTCTCTGGTCACTCTCTGGTCTCTCTCTGGTCTCTCTCTGGTCTCTCTCTGGTCTCTGTGGTCTCTCTGATCTCTCCGGTCTCTCTCTGGTCTCTCTCTGGTCTCTCTCTGGTCTCTCTCTGATCTCTCTCTGGTCTCTCTCTGATCTCTCTCTGGTCTCTCTCTGGTCTCTCTCTGGTCTCTCTCTGATCTCTCTCTGGTCTCTCTCTGGTCTCTCTCTGGTCTCTCTCTGGTCTCTCTCTGGTCTCTCTCTGGTCTCTCTCTGGTCTCTCTCTGGTCTCTCTCTGGTCTCTCTCTGGTCTCTCTCTGATCTCTCTCTGGTCTCTCTCTGATCTCTCTCTGGTCTCTCTCTGGTCTCTGTGGTCTCTCTGATCTCTCTGGTCTCTCTCTGGTCTCTCTCTGGTCTCTCTCTGGTCTCTCTCTGGTCTCTCTCTGGTCTCTCTCTGGTCTCTCTCTGATCTCTCTCTGGTCTCTCTCTGATCTCTCTCTGGTCTCTCTCTGGTCTCTCTCTGATCTTTCTGGTCTCTCTCTCTGGTCTCTCTCTCTCTGGTCTCTCTCTGATCTTTCTGGTCTCTCTCTGGTCTCTCTCTGATCTTTCTGGTCTCTCTCTCTGGTCTCTCTCTCTCTGGTCTCTCTCTGATCTTTCTGGTCTCTCTCTCTGGTCTCTCTCTCTCTGGTCTCTCTCTGGTCTCTCTCTGGTCTCTCTCTGATCTCTCTCTGGTCTCTCTCTGATCTCTCTCTGGTCTCTCTCTGATCTCTCTGATCTCTCTCTCTATTTAATCTCCTAAAACGTATGTAGTAAATTCACATTTGAGTTCCACCGTCTCGGAGGGCCCTGGAGAGAGATCCAGACACATTCTGTTTTTTCTCGTTTTCTTCCATGTGTGGTCGGCAACAGAATCACTCTCCATTTCATCCTCTCTGCCTTCCGACTGGACAGTGCCTTTGTGTCTGGCTCTTCTCTAACTTTACCTTTTAGATCCAGTCTGATGGACATTTGTCAACATCTGAGGACCCTTTAATGAACCAATGGCTCTGTGTTTGTGTCTGTGTTTGAACTGTTTGATTCTGTTTCGGCGAATCAACAACTTTGTATAGGTCTCCGAGATGACTAAGCCTGAATTTAACTTATGTCTGATGTTATATGTCCTTAAACCTTCTTGATATAATCCAGAAAGCCGTCCCAGTCTCCAACACTTATTACTGTGGGAAACCCAGGTCTTCTACAACATCGAAGAAACTGTATCTTGGGTTTCTGGGTGTTCTGGGTCTTCGTATCGTAGACATACAATATATAAGACCCAAATGTATCCAGTGTTTTATGTTTAAGGCTTAGAAGGTTCTCATAATAAAACAAAAGTGTGAAGAAGCCAGTATTACTTAATTGCTACATGGACGATAGACTTCTGCCCTCGTCACACTGACCACGCCCCCCGCTGTGCTGTGGTCTCTGGAGAAGTGAGCCCCAAGTGTGAGCCAAGGTATAGGCCCTCTTGTCTCTGTTGATGGTCCTTTTTTTGAATCAATACATATCATGCAATTAAGCAGTATTAGCCACTGCAAAAGATGACAGAATTAAAGACAAAAAAATGCTCAAATTTGGCTAAATGTATCTAAATATGAGCACATTTTGACTGCCTTAAAACAAGATTTGCCAGTGGAACAAGAAAAATTGTCTTGTTTTAAAAAGATACAAGATATTTCTCTCTTGGAATGAGAAAATAAAGCAATAGTTCTTGAATCAAGTCAGAATTGCTTGTCTCATTGGCAAATCTCATTTTAAGACAGTCAGAATGAACTTAAGTCAAGTAAAAAAAAACTCGATTCTAGCAATTATGATCTCATATTTGATCATTTTATGCAGTGTAAGAATATCTTTTCAACAAGTTCAGACCATGACATTAACTCTCATAGAATTGAAACTGAACCTGTCTAAGTCTAAAAAGTCCTTGAGAAAACCACTGACCTTGTTATGTCAGAATTACACCCTGTATTATTTCCTCCAACATGTAAGTTACTGCTCCGTCCGGGCGAGCCACCGGTGTGAGACCACGCAGAGAGGACTACAGCTCAAACCGCCTCATCAAAACCGGCCGACAGTTATTCAATGAGGGGACAGCCAGCGTCCGTAAAGATTTCACAGAGAGAGGCGGCCTTATAAATCCAAGCAAACACGCTCTAGGATGTCCACACGTCCAGGCTCGGATCAATAACGTCAAAGACACTGCAGCCAAAGCACAAGTGCAGAGCCCCAGGGAGAGAGAGAGACGGGGCCTGGAAGGGTCCGTGGGAAAGAGAGGAGCCACAGTCGCTTCAAAACACAAGCTATTGACCCCTGATCCGAGCTCAAAGACCAATCAGATGCTCTGCTAATGACCGCTTCCACCCGGACGCCATCGCACCCACCGGAGGAGCCCAGAGGAGCCCAGAGGAGAGCAGAGGAGAGCAGAGGAGCCCAGAAGAGCCCAGAGGAGAGCAGAGGAGCTGGGAAGGGTGAGCTGGTGTCGCCTGTTCTCTTGTTTTTCTCTTTGAGGCTCTTTGCATTTCATTAGTGTCTATGAACCACAGCAGCAGCACTCAGTCTGAACAGAAAGAGATGTGGCAAGGCAAGTTTATTTATATAGCACAATTCATACACAAGGCAATTCAAAGTGCTGAACAAAACAAGAAAGCATTAAAATCATAAATAATCACAGAACATTAAAAAGAAAGATAAAAATATAAAATCCCTCAGTTGTAGCACAGCTAAACAGAACTGTCTTTAACCTGGTTTTAAATATTGTCAGAGAGGAGGCCTGTCTCACATCTTCAGGAAGACTGTTCCAGATTTTAGCAGCATGAATCTGAAAAGCAGCCTCCCCATGTTTAGTTCTGACTCTGGGCACTAACAGGAGTCCAGTCCCTGTGCTCCTCAGAGTCCCAGCAGGAGTCCAGTCCCTGTGCTCCTCAGAGTCCCAGCAGGAGGCCAGTCCCTGTGCTCCTCAGAGTCCGGGCTGGTTCATATGGGACTAACATGTCACTAATATATTTTGGTGCGAGGCCATGGAGAGACTTGTAACAAGCAGAGCTGTTTTAAAGTCTATTCTCTGAGCCACAGGAAGCCAGTGCGGAGACCTGAGGACTGGACTAATGTGGTCGTACTTCCTGGTTCTAGTCAGGACTAATGTGGTCGTACTTCCTGGTTCTAGTCAGGACTAATGTGGTCGTACTTCTTGGTTCTAGTCAGGACTAATGTGGTCGTACTTCCTGGTTCTAGTCAGGACTAATGTGGTCGTACTTCCTGGTTCTAGTCAGGACTAATGTGGTCGAACTTCCTGGTTCTAGTCAGGACTAATGCGGTCGTACTTTCTGGTTCTAGTCAGGACTGGAGCTGCTGCATTTTGAATGTACTGCAGCTGTTTTACAGCCTGTTTGGACAGACCTGTGAGCAGGCCATTGCAGTAGTCTAACCTACTGGAGACAAATGCATGGATAAGAATCTCCAAGTCTGCTTTAGACACTATGTTTTTGATCCTGGCAATGTTTGATGTGAGAGTGAGTTTGGACATGTTTCAAACATGTGCAATAGAAGTCATCTCAGAGGACTTTACAAAGCTGTCGATTTGCCAAAACAGATCAGAGAAACACAGAATCAGTTCAGAAAGCAACAAAAAACTCCATCCATTTTCTTCCCCTTAATCCATTTCTGGGTCAGGGTGGTGGCAGTCAGAGCTGCTCGAGCAGCAACCCTCCTCCTCCCCATCACCGCCTCTTCAGTATCATGTCATGTCTTCGGCTCAGGTTCTTTGCCACCAGGGTCTGGACATACGTCATGCAGTTTTCCCGCCGGGGTCCAATCGCCAAAGCTTATCAACAAATATAATAGTCTCAATCAAAGTCTGCTGCTGTTTATTCATGCATCCTGACAGTAAATATAAATGTAAAGGTGCACTTTATTAATCCCCGTAGGGCAATTCCTCCTCTGCATTTGACCCAGAGCCTGATGCCCTAAGGCTTAGGTCAGGAGCAGTGGTCGCCGTAGTAACAGCGCCCGGGAACCCACATCCAGATGTTGATGCTCGGCTTGGTCAGGACCAGAGCTGGAGAATTTAACTTAGTGTGCATGTTTTTAGTGGTAAGGGGAAATGGAGCACCCGGAGGAAACCTTTGCTAATATCTAAAATCAGATTCTAATGCAATTTTCATCACGTGTCTTTCCAGATTGAAATAATATTCAAAATAATAATCATAATTATAGCTACGGTAAATTACTCGAGAAACTAGTTAATAATAGAAAGTTTATAATATTTAGGGTTCAGGTTAATTCTCTCGGTGATTGTCAGAGTTCCAAAGTATGATCCTGTCCCTTCATCAAACAAGCATCGGTCGAACCAGCACTTTGCATTCTAAGGAGATTTTATTTCTGTTTGTTGACCCGAAGTTGGCCGTGTGGTTGGCGCCCTCTCCGCTCTCAAAGCCGGCACCAAAAACACCCTTCATTAGCATTAAGTAGTATCAACAAAAGACCCCTGTGTGTTCTCGTTAGGACTGTGTTTTTTGAGTTAATTAAGACACAACAAGTTCTGAAGCCGCTCCCAGCGCCGCAGCCTGAGAATCATTTACATTCCAATCCTCCCAGAAGCAGGCGTTCTGGAGTGGTGCTTATGGCGGCGAGATCGAGAGACGCTTCCGGCTCTTCAGCGTCTGCGGCTCCATGTCTCCCAAAAATACAAAGCCATTACTCTCCATTTTCACGTTCAGAAGGACGTGAAGAGGCATCGAACTGTAGCGGTGTGTAGTCAGAGTGTGTGTGTCTGCATGGGTTACTTTACACTTGTGTTTCTGACAATGTTGGATCAGCGCCAGACAAAAGGCTTCACTGCAAAAAGGGTTGAAAAAGTGGGTCAAATTGGGCGAAATGTATTTAAAATAAAAGGGGCGACAGTAGCTCAGTTGGTAGAGCACTGGCCTTTGAGCCTGAAGGTTGTAGGTTCAAGCCCACCACGGGACCTTCTCCACCGACTCCCACTGATAACTGCTGTCATTGTGTCCTTGGGCAGGACACTTAACCCTGCATTGCCTGAAGCCCCCGCTGAAAAATCAAGGTTGTATTGTCACGGACAGAGCAGCCGTCCTCCTGTGGACTCACCCCCTGCAGAGGGTCAGTGAGGGGCTGGTGCTCTGACTGCCAGGGAAAGAAGATGGATGGATGGTATTTAAAATGTGTGTTACATTGTGGAGGTGTTTTGACAAAGTTGAAAATGAATTTGAGTGTTATTTTTGCTAGATGTGTTTGAAAGAAATTGTTTAGTTCTGTTTGGGTTGAACTCAAACTGGACCAAAGATAAAGGAGGTCGTTGGAAATGTGGACCGTGGCATTTTCTTTCAGGTATTTATGAATCAACTCTTACTACTTTCTAGGTTCAATGTTTCAAAAAAAATCAAATGATGGAGCTGCTTTCTGGAGACAATTTGCATTAAAATAATTACAGTAAAACGTGCCATTGAACCCACAACCTGGAGCTGCTGTGGTCGTTATCTTGGCGTCTTAATCAGTCATTTATGTCTATAGCAGTTCATACACTGTAAAAAATTATGAAAAAATTAGGTAATATTTGCTTGAATCTAGTGTTTTTTATCCTGATCTGACACATTCTGATAAAACTAGATTCTCCAACGGGACACAGTCGTTTCGTCTGATTTCAAGATCAGTTGCTTCATTTTCTCATTCCAAGGAAGCAATGTATTTGATTGAGTGTGATTTTCTAAGATGTAGGAGCACTAATTCGTTTTTGTGTTTTGTTTTTGTAAGCTTTAGTTTTAAAACCAAATGGTTGAGATACAGTTTCATGGTAAATGTGCCTAAATCTAAGTGAAATTTCAAATCCAAGCTCAAAGTAGAGAAAGTGACTCAAAAAGTGGGTCAAAATGTGCTCAGATTAAGACACTTTTACCCAAAATTCTGACTTATTTTCCATCTGTTTTTCGCAGTGCACAGAATTAAAACCAATCAAAAACACACTGTAAAACACGCACAAAGACGATACTTCTGCTTCAGCCCAAAACAGCATCAAAGACAGCCAGAGGTGATGTCACACCTTTGTCTCTGTGCACACAACATGAGCCTGTGTTTTTGAAGCTGGCACCTGTGTCTTCATTCACAAACATCACAGAGACAAAGGAAAGAGCCCGTCTCACATCAATAATATCCTCTTCCTGGGTTCTTTTTTTTTTTTATATCCGGGCATTGACTAAACTTATTGTGACGATACGAGGGGATATTATATCTGAGGAGGTTCTTTGCGAGACGCTGCGTGGGCGAGAAAACTTCAGAAAGTCGAGGCAGTGAGAAGGAGACTGTTGCGTCGAGCCGTCGGTCTCACGGTTCATTCCAGCGTTTATTTTTAATGCACTTCATCGAGTAACAGTGAGAGGAGGTGGGAACAGAACATCCTCAAACTTGGACGTGTGGCTCTGCTCCTTCTTCTCGGTCCTCTCCTCGTCTTAATCCTTTCGCACGGAGCATTCTTGTCCCGCTCCCGGCCACGAGCCCAGCGTTATTTTTTAAAATGTGCCCAAAATAGACCCGTGGATGATGAAGGTGACATCTCCACAGAGAGAGAGGTTTGGCTGCAAAAAACGTTTCTTGTCTCTCCTGGTCTGCGGGAGCCTGACACGGAGCCGCAGTCACAGCCGATGAAGACAGAATCCATCACAAAACCATAATTCTGCGTCGGATAAAAGCCCATGAATTTTAAACAATTGGAAAAAGTGTATATATGTGGCCGGTCCTGGAGAAAGTCATTATTTATAGGCGAGAGGTGAAATGGGATTTCTGTGTAGTGTAAATACATCCATGCATACTGCCATTTGGAGAAACTGGACCTCGAAGCTCGGAGGACAAGCTAATGCCTCTGGAGCAGGCTCGGCCGTTTCCCATAAGTGGTCAGCCATCTTTGCACTTTTACTCCACATGTCGTCCAGAGAAGCACAGGACACAGAAGATACACGACACAGAAGATACACAACACAGAAGATACACAACACAGCGTTTGGTCCATCTTCTTTGGGATGTATTCACTGAAATTCAAGCTGACGTGAATGTATTGGACTAATAAAACCCTGTAGTTCTGCTTAAAAACAGTGACAGTGAAATGTTGGACCAGCGTGGACTAAACGCTGCAAGATGCTCGAAGAAAATAATCTCAAAAAAATCTAAAAAATAAGAAAAATAATCTAAAAAATTATAATCAAAAAATGTATAATTCGAAATATAATAATGTAAAATAAAAATAATAATCTAAAAATCTAAAATAATAATCTAATCTACAAATAATCTAAAAATAATAATCTAAAATATAAGAAAATAATCTAAAAAATAAGAACATGAATCTAAAAAAAAAAAATCTAAAGATTATAATTCAAAATATAATAATCAAAAATAAAATAATAATCAATCTAAAAATATTAATCAAAAATAAAAATAATAATCTAAAAATCTAAAATAATAATCTAATCTAAAAATAATCTAAAAAAAAAAAAATCTTAACCCATGCGTGAGATTGACTTGATTGACCCCAGAATGTCACCAGTTTCTATTATTTAGTGCAAAGTTTCCATCATATTCATAATTCTAAGTTAATATTTAGCATTGTGTTTATTCATGACTACGGATTACATTGTGAAGGTGTTTTCCCCAAGTTTTATATGAGTTTGAATGTCGTCTTTGTGGATAGGTCTGAAAGAAAGTGTTGCATTTCTTTGCCGTTGCCTATCTGCTCGTGTGGTGCAGGGATGGTGAAATGTTGGACCAGCGTGGATCAAATGCTGCAAATTGCTCAAAGAAAATAATCAAAAACCCATGTAGCATTTGTTCTTCATGGGCGACTGGGCGACAGTAGCTCAGTTGGTAGAGCACTGGTCACCTGCTCCCACCGATGTCTGCTGTCGTTGTGTCCCTGGGCAAGACACTTAACCCACATTGCCTGAGCCCCCGCTGAAAAACCAAGGCCATCTCGTCAATGCTCTGTGAGTTGTCGCCCAGAAGATGAGGATGGATGGATAAGTCGATATTCACATTCTCTGGTCTGCACCCAAACAATATCATAGTTCATTGTCTTCATAGTTCAAGTCTGTTTTCTCCAAAGTCTCTCGGTTTTCGTAGTAAACTCCTCCCCAACCTTGGACATGTGGCTCTGCTCCTTCTTCCCGTAGAGCGTCCGACAGCCTCGCCGCTCTACAGACCCTCCCCCCGTCTTAAACCTTCACATTGTGGATGTAGTTTCACCAGATTAAATATACGTTTATGTTCTTTTTTTGGTAAATATGTCTCAAAGAAAGTGTTCAGCGAATGCTTGGATTGGATTGAAGGGTCCAGGACACTCCACGTTCAACCACATTTATGGACATTGTCTCTGCTCCCAATGGACTAATGATGAATTCAACGGTTTTGTAGCGTCCTCGGAGATAGCTGCTGTTGTGATTTATGGTGAGTCAAAATTGAATTGAATTGAATTGAAGTCTACGGCTATTGCCTTTGGTAACAATCGTGTTGCTCCTTCAGTTTGGGAGGCCACAGAAGGCATCACTGATCTCGCTCTTCTTTCACCACACACTGAAGAAAACATTGTCCCAGTTTGTTTCGTTTGCTCCGGCGTGTGTTTTGCATCGCTGACACTTCCCCATCTCTCTGACAAAGACATCAGCAGCTGACAGTTTAACAAAACGGCTGCAAGAGAAAAGGAAGAATACATCAGCCAACGCAAACATTGACCCAACGCTGCAACTTGCAAATGAGTCACAAAAATCACCAATAGACTGACAGCCTCTAATCTCCTCATTTCACTGTCCCCACATCACACTCCTGCAGCACAGAGAGAAAGCCTTGCTCCCGTCTGATGAGAGTAATGGCTTTTCATGGCTGTGATTGGGCAGTCAATAGGGCGGCCTCTCGGAGAATGCTAAAGCTGTCTCTGTGTCACTTACATCTGTTCCTGTATGCGGATATGTCCCAAGGAGAAAGAGTTACGAGCCGCTGCAGGACCGGGAAAAAGTGTGAAACAAAACCCTCACTTTGAAATTTCTAACTAAACTCTTTGATTTCACGGAGAACTGTTGAATCCATGGTCGAGCAATGGAAAAGTATACACAACTGCAAACCAACCAAGACAGAAATGTCCGCCCAAAGTCACGAACAGAACAAGAACTGTTCCCTGCAGACTGTCCTGCCCAACCCGCCTGGAGCTGCTTCAGTCCTGCACTGGACCGGTCCACGTTCTGCAGCCGCTGCGTGGCCCTGGTCCACGTTCTGTAGCTTAGGTCCCGGATCTACAGCCTCAGTCCTCGTTCTACAGTCTGAGTCCTGGATCTACAGCCTCAGTCCTCGTTCTACAGTCTGAGTCCTGAATCTACAGCCTCAGTCCTCGTTCTACAGTCTGAGTCCTGAATCTACAGCCTCAGTCCTCGTTCTACAGTCTGAGTCCTGAATCTACAGCCTCAGTCCTCGTTCTACAGTCTGAGTCCTGGATCTACAGCCTCAGTCCTCGTTCTACAGTCTGAGTCCTGAATCTACAGCCTCAGTCCTCGTTCTACAGTCTGAGTCCTGAATCTACAGCCTCAGTCCTCGTTCTACAGTCTGAGTCCTGGATCTACAGCCTCAGTCCTCGTTCTTGACTACAGAGACAAGTGGGTAAAGTTTAATGCAAAATTTTTTCCAGATATCACCTCTGTCTTTGTGCAGGAAGCTCTCTCTATCTCTCTTTCTCTCCCTCTATATACTGTATATATATATATATATATATATATATATATATATATATATATAATCTCTCTCTTTGGTCTCTGCTCTCTCTGGTTTCTCTCTCGCTCTCTCTTTGGTCTCTCTCTAATCTATCTCTTTCTCTCCCTCTCTCTGCTCTCTCTCTCTGTCATCCCCACTCTCTCTGTCTTTGGTCCCTCTTTAATCTCTCTCTTTAGTCTCTCTTTAGTCTCTCTTTAGTCTCTCTCAGTCTCCCCCCCCCCCCCCCCCTCTCTCTCTCTCTCTCTCTCTCTCCAGGGGTGCCTCTAAGAATATTCTGAAGAGGCCTGTATAGGATTTCAGCGAGGAGCAGCTGAAAGCGAAGCCGAGGTCAGAGATCACAACAGTCTGAATAATCAATTAAACCCTAATTACAATAGCTGCACTTAGTTGTGAGTCCGCTGCTGATTGGACGAGACAAAGACGGAGGCAGGAAGCCGGGATTGAACCCAAAGTCGGCGTCTCGGGTTGTATTCTTTCGCCTCGAGTCGTTGCTGCCCACAATTTCCAAAACCTTTCTCCTTTATTTTACAGTTGAGAATTGGTTCTATTGTCAGGTGTCCCCCTTTGGGCTCGCGGCGCTGAGATCATGTTAAATATTAATTGCGTTCCTCGGGGGATCGTCTTTCAGGCTGAAATCAAATACAGCAAAGGACCCGGCGGCGACAACACTAAACTGTGCCTTTTCTCCGCCACCATTGTTTAGTCCCAGGCACTTAAAGAGGCCGATGCCAACGCCGCCACACAATAGATATGGCGGAAAGTGAGCCGGAGAAACTCAGAAATTCTCTCTTTTGTGTTGGACCGAAGGGCTTTCTCCTGACTCGGTGCGAAGAGTCCAGAGGGCAACTTACTCTCCGCAAACTTCACAACTTCACACTGAGGCAAGGCCGAAGTTTGGAGAAAGTTACACAATACGGCGCTGATAGAAGAGAATCTGCAGAGCTCTGAAATGTGTTTGGATTTACCGTTCCACAAAACTGGGAAAGCGAAAATCTCTCTCTCTCTCTCTTTCTAATCTTACTTAGATTAAGTAAGTCTCTCCCCAGTCTCCTTGGTCTCTCTCTCTCTCTCTCTTTCTAATCTTACTTAGATTAAGTAAGTCTCTCCCCAGTCTCCTTGGTCTCTCTCTCTCTCTCTCTTTCTAATCTTACTTAGATTAAGTAAGTCTCTCCCCAGTCTCCTTGGTCTCTCTCTCTCTCTCTCTCTCTCTTTGATCTCACTGAAATGTGTTTTGATCTGCCGTTCCACAACACTGCGAAACCAAAACCATCGTCCAAACGAGGTCTAAATGGGCTCTGACGTTCGGGCCTCTGACGTTTGGGCCTCTGACGTTCAGGGTTCTGACGTTCGGGCCTCTGACGTTCAGGGTTCTGAAGTTCGGGCCTCTGACGTTCAGGGTTCTGACGTTCGGGCCTCTGACGTTCGGGCCTCTGACGTTCGGGCCTCTGACGTTCGGGCCTCTGACGTTCGGGCCTCTGACGTTTGGAGTTCTGACTTTCGGGCCTCTGACGTTCGGGGTTCTGACGTTCGGGGTTCTGACGTTCGGGGTTCTGACGTTCGGGGTTCTGACGTTCGGGGTTCTGACGTTCGGGGTTCTGACGTTCGGGCCTCTGACGTTCGGGCCTCTGACGTTCAGGGTTCTGACGTTCGGGGTTCTGACGTTCGGGGTTCTCACGTTCGGGGTTCTCACGTTCGGGGTTCTGACGTTCGGGCCTCTGACGTTCGGGCCTCTGACGTTCAGGGTTCTGACGTTCGGGGTTCTGACGTTCAGGGTTCTGACGTTCGGGGTTCTGACGTTCGGGGTTCTCACGTTCGGGGTTCTCACGTTCGGGGTTCTCACGTTCGGGGCTCTGACGTTGTGCCAAATTGCTGTTGTGTCCTTAGGCAGGACACTTCACCCACACTAGAATGAGTCTGGTGTGTGTGTGAATGGTTGGTGGTGGTGGGAGGGGCCGATGGCACAGACTGGTTGTCTCGCTTCTGTCAGTGTGCCCCAGGGCAGCTGTGGCTACTGTAGTTTATCATTAATGTTTTTGAGTGAATGAATATTGTCCTGAATGAAACCAGTGCATTGTTTTTATCACTGTGTCGAGGAATCTTTTGGGAGAGTTTTGTTTTGAATGTTTCTCAATATATAAGTTGTTTCTTATGTTATGTTATGAATGTTTCTTAATATATATAATAAGGGGCGACAGTAGCTCAGTTGGTAGAGCATTGGCCTTTGAGCCTGAAGGTCATGGGTTCGAGCCCACCTCAAGACCTACTTCACAACTCCCACTGATGACTGCTGTCGTTGTGTCCTTGGGCAAGACACTTAACCCCACTTTGCCTGAAGCCCCCACTGAAAGATCTCAGCTCCTGTGGACTCACCGCCTGCAGGAGGATCAGTGAGGGGCTGGTGCTCTGTGTACTGGGTGCAGCTCTGACTGCCACCCCCCCGACCCAGAAATGGATTAAGGGGAAGAGGATGGATGGATGGATGGATGTTTCTCAATACTTTTTTACTGCATTTACTCTGATAAGTGTGTTACTAAAGTGGACGAGTGTGAAATTGGCCTTCAACTCGTATTCTCTGCTGGAAACTGGGAGATTAGTTTGAGCCTGAGTTGCCGAGACGAGATAATCTTTGACTTTCAAAACTGTGGACGGATAGAAATCGAGTTGCTGTAAATGACAAACTTTCAGCCAATTCCGAGCATGCTAATTAAAATATCGCTAGTTCCACTTTAAACAAGTGCCGTACGGTTTTAGAAACGGTTAGCGATAGCATTTGTTTCCCAAAGAAATGTATAATTGTTGACATTTCTCTCCCACTCCTCACACAGAGCGAGCTCTGGAGGTCCATGCCAGACCTATTGTACAGGTTTTTAGTGGTAGAGGAAACCGGAGCACCCGGTGGAAACCTGAGCAGACACGGGGAGAACATGCAAACTCCAGAAAGTCTTATTATAATAATAATGCATCGGTTTTACACAGCGCTTTTCTGGACACTCAAAGACGCTCCACATGTCATTATTCATTCTCTCCAAACACGGTGGTGATAAAATACTACTGTAGCCACAGCTGCCCTGGGGCACACTGACAGAAGCGAGGCAACCTGTCTGTGCCATCGGCCCCTCCCACCACCACCAACCACTCACACACACACCAGACTCATTCTAATGTGGGAGAAGTGTTTTGCCCAAGGACACGATCACAGTTTGGCACTTTACAGCCGCAGCCGCCCCACTGTGGCATCAAGTGTGTCCCAGAGGTTAAGTGTCTTGCCCAAAGACACAACGACAGCAGACAGTGGGAGTCGATGGTGAAGGTCGGGCTCGAACCAACGACCCTCTGGCTCAAAGGCCAATGCTCTACCAACTGAGCCACTGTCGCCCTCAGTTGGTAGAGCATTATTAAACAGTCAGTCAATCTCTTGTCCCTGGTTTATGTGAAACTGTATGAATTATGATCCTAAATATATTTCATTGAAGTTATGAAAGAGAAAAAAAAATCTTGATTAAAATGAAATCCACCAAAAACTAGATAATAATAGACTTTTATCCATCTCTCTCTCCCATTCTCTCTCTGTGTCTCTCTCTCTCTCTCTCTCTCTCTCTCTCTCTCTCTCTCTCTCTCTCTCTCTCTCTCTCTCTCTCTCTCTCTCTCTCTCTCTCTCTCTCTCTCTCTCTCTCTCTCTCTCTCTCCTCTGACCCCCCCCGGTCCACAGAGAGAACCTACATTAGCACTACACACGGCTGAACCTGCCCCGGCCTGCTCCCTGTAAGCCTGGGTAAAACCTGAGCTGTCCTGACCTTGTGCGGAACCACTCTCTCTCTCTCTCTCCCTTCTTAGCCGTCAACACCTTTCGCCTAAAGTCTGACGGACGATAAGGCGTGTTTCTGTTTCTGAGACACCAGACTGTTCCCGGTCAGGTCTGGACTTATGTCTAAACCTGCTTTCAATTCAGACTCAGCTGGTAATTGGGACACAGGGACTGGCCTCCTGCTGGGACTCTGAGGAGCACAGGGACTGGCCTCCTGCTGGGACTCTGAGGAGCACAGGGACTGGCCTCCTGCTGGGACTCTGAGGAGCACAGGGACTGGCCTCCTGCTGGGACTCTGAGGAGCACAGGGACTGGCCTCCTGCTGGGACTCGGAGGAGCACAGGGACTGGCCTCCTGCTGGGACTCTGAGGAGCACAGGGACTGGCCTCCTGCTGGGACTCTGAGGAGCACAGGGACTGGCCTCCTGCTGGGACTCTGAGGAGCACAGGAACTGGCCTCCTGTTGGGACTCTGAGGAGCACAGGGACTGGCCTCCTGCTGGGACTCTGAGGAGCACAGGAACTGGCCTCCTGTTGGGACTCTGAGGAGCACAGGGACTGGCCTCCTGCTGGGACTCTGAGGAGCACAGGGACTGGCCTCCTGCTGGGACTCGGAGGAGCACAGGGACTGGCCTCCTGCTGGGACTCGGAGGAGCACAGGGACTGGCCTCCTGCTGGGACTCTGAGGAGCACAGGGACTGGCCTCCTGCTGGGACTCTGAGGAGCACAGGGACTGGCCTCCTGCTGGGACTCTGAGGAGCACAGGAACTGGCCTCCTGTTGGGACTCTGAGGAGCACAGGGACTGGCCTCCTCCTGCTGGGACTCTGAGGAGCACAGGGACTGGCCTCCTGCTGGGACTCTGAGGAGCACAGGGACTGGCCTCCTGCTGGGACTCTGAGGAGCACAGGGACTGGCCTCCTGCTGGGACTCGGAGGAGCACAGGGACTGGCCTCCTGCTGGGACTCTGAGGAGCACAGGGACTGGCCTCCTGCTGGGGACCCTGAGGAGCACAGGGACTGGCCTTCTCCTGCTGGGACTCTGAGGAGCACAGGGACTGGCGTCCTGCTGGGACTCTGAGGAGCACAGGGACTGGCCTCCTGCTGGGACTCTGAGGAGCACAGGGACTGGTCTCCTGCTGGGACTCTGAGGAGCACAGGGACTGGTCTCCTGCTGGGACTCTGAGGAGCACAGGGACTGGCCTCCTGCTGGGACTCGGAGGAGCACAGGGACTGGCCTCCTGCTGGGACTCTGAGGAGCACAGGGACTGGCCTCCTGCTGGGACCCTGAGGAGCACAGGGACTGGCCTTCTCCTGCTGGGACTCTGAGGAGCACAGGGACTGGCCTCCTGCTGGGACTCTGAGGAGCACAGGGACTGGCCTCCTGCTGGGACTCTGAGGAGCACAGGGACTGGCCTCCTGCTGGGACTCTGAGGAGCACAGGGACTGGCCTCCTGCTGGGACTCTGAGGAGCACAGGGACTGGCCTCCTGCTGGTCCCAGGGTCAGGACTAGACAAGAGGAGGTAGCGTTTCAGATTCATGCAGCTAAACAGTCTTCCTTAAAATGTGAGACAGACTTCTTCTCTGACAATGTTCAAATCCAGGTTAAAAACAGTTTTGCTGAACCGAGGGATTTTATATTTACTCTTTTGAATGTATTGTGGGTATTAATGATTAATAATGCCTTATGAACTAATTGAACTCTCTGATTCTCTGATCTGTGTTTGCGAATCAACAGCTTTCTGTGTGCGTCCCAACCAGCAGGACACAACACACTCCCACTGTTAGCGTTCTGAAGCAGTGTGTAGGACGACAGGCCTCGATGAACTGGACCAAACCTCCCACAGACTCACGCGGCTCCGGAGGATTGTGAAACGCAAACGTCCAATGGATCCATACGGCCCATAAATCTGTCACCGCAGTTTTACGCCGTGGTTTTAACCTTGTGCATGACAGCGGCAGGAGCGCCTCGTCGGCGGGGCGCTCAATGGACCCACACTGCTGTAACAGGCTACACTCTGTTACATAGATAGATACTGTAGATCAGTGTCTCCCAAAGTGGGGTCCGCGGCCCCCTGGTGGGCCGCGAGGGTACTGCAGGAGGGCCGCGGGAGGTCATACAAAAAATAAAAAAATAATATAATTATTTAACGTTAAATTTATAATGTTTTGTTTGTAATATTAAAATATTTGTGTTCATTATTTGACTTGAATAATCCACTGTAATCATTTTTGTATTGCAATGTTTGTAGCAGAGGCTATTTCCCCAAAATAAAATAACCAGAAGAGCCTATTCTTAATGTTGTCTTCTTGGTTACTATTTTGGGGGGCCACGCAGACCCGTCAGATTTTTAAGGGGGCTTCGGTGTTACTGAGTTTGGGAATGGCTGCTGTAGATAGATAGATAGATAGATAGATAGATAGAAAACAATTACTAAAACAATCAATAGCTGCATGCACTGAAAAAAATGATAAAATATGAAGTAATAATCATTTGGGACAAACATACAAGAAATGGTCGGCACAGTGGCTGAGTGGTTAGCCCTCTCGCTTGCAAGAATCCCGGTCAGAAGAGGGGCTTTCTGAGTGGAGTTTGCATGTTCTCCCCATGTAGGTTTCCTCCAGGGGCTCCGGTTTCTAGTGGTAAGGGAAACCGGAGTCGACCTGGTTCCGATGTGTGGAGTGAGAGACAAATTCCCACAACATTTGTAAAGCACTTTGAAAGTTTGGTCTGTGAAAGGCGCTATATCAATAAAAATTACTTACTTTTAAGACTAGATATTTTTGCTTTGTCCCATTGGCCAATCTTGTTTTAAGGCTCAGTCAGAATGGGCTCAGAATAAAACACAATTAACCAAATTTTAGCAACTTTTGATTTATCGTTCCTTACTTTTTGCAGCGTCGACACAAACATGAATGTTGAATATCTCTGAAAACCATGTATTATCCCCCAAATAATATCTTAGTCTTTCCCTAATCTCCCCATGACGAGATGATCAGCGAGAGTCCATGTTGCAGACGCAGAGTGTAAAAGACTGCGATGGAGCAGGGAGTGGAATGACCCGTGACTGATGAGGCTCCTGCTGCAGCCTCGGATCAGACTCTGTCATTAGAAGTGTGCAGTCACGGCCCCGCGGCCCTCTCCCCACGGGCCATTTCACCGCTCGTCCGCCATTGTTTATTCAGTGGAAGGCTGGATGGAGGACGGCCTGTCAGAAAGTGAGTCTGTCTGCCATCCGAGCTCCAGCGCCGCATACCAAGCACACCTCCAGAAGACCTGCCCCCGCTGGAGGATTGAGACAACTCCGCGCTGTCGGTCACGCTCCGGGGCCCGCGGAGGAGGAGGTGGAGGTGGTAGCGGGCATGTCCGGGCCCCCAGGAAACACCAGGATGTCGGGGGCCAGACTGTTTTTTACCTGATACTGTTGAAAAGTGCAGCGCATTCTTCTTCGTCAGACTGTCACTGCGTCACACAGACCTCTCTCTGCAGATCCACTCTCCACTTAACAAGCAGATGTTAGAGTCCCCTATGGACCAGGACTGGACCAGGACTGGACCAGGACTAGACCAGGACTGGACCAGGACTGGACCAGGACTAGACCAGGACTGGACCAGGACTGGACCAGGACTAGACCAGGATTAGACCAGGACTGGACCAGGACTAGACCAGGACTGGACCAGGACTAGACCAGGACTAGACAAGGACTAGACCAGGACTAGACAAGGACTAGACCAGGACTAGACAAGGACTAGACCAGGACTAGACCAGGACTAGACCAGGACTAGACAAGGACTAGACCAGGACTAGACCAGGACTGGACCAGGACTAGACCAGGACTGGACCAGGACTGGACCAGGACTAGACAAGGACTAGACCAGGACTAGACCAGGACTAGACCAGGACTGGATCAGGACTGGACCAGGACTGGACCAGGACTAGACCAGGACTGGACCAGGACTAGACCAGGACTAGACAGGACTATAAGAGCCTCATGTCGACTAGATAGATTTAAGTTTCACATTTGACAAAGAGAGATAAGCAGGATTTTGTACTTCACCAGGAACTATAAGTATATGAATCTTCTCGTCAATAATGTCGACAGAAAGAGTAAGAGTGACAGGTATTTTTCCATGATTGTGTTTAAGTCCATAGACTGTAGATGAACAATGCTAACCCGCTAGCTCAACGAGGCCTCGTAGGGAAGAGAAGTTTTGCTCCAACTCGCTCTGGCTCCGATTGACTTGAAAAGTAAACTCCTGTGGCTCAGTAACTGTGAATGTGTCTCATTCACCATTTGGGCTTTGAAAATATGATGTTTGTGTGTGATCCTATTTTTGAGAAAAACTCATCTGAGCAGTTTTCTATTGGGCTTCTTTGAGCCGGTGGATTAGTAGTTTCTGTGCATTTCTCTGCTGTTCACATAAACACAACAGGAGCAGGAATGGATGCTACGTCCTCAGCTCTGGAGAAATATCTCCCTTGGAATAAGAAAATTAAGCAACTGTTTTTGAAATAAGAGTAAAAGGCTTTTTCCCGTTGGCAAATTCTTGATTCAAGACCATTTGTTTCAAACAATTATTATCTCATGTTTTATCATTGTTTAAAAACAGAAGAAAGTTATGAAGACCAAGAATTTACATGAGCAAAGTAAAAAAAGCTCCAAAACTAAAAGCCGTCAAATTGACTGCTCTGGGAGTTGCAGTCTTAATGTACAGTGCCTTGCGAAAGTATTCGGCCCCCCTTGAACCTTTCAACATTTTGCCACATTTCAGGCTTCAAACATAAAGATATAAAAATTTAGTTTTTTGTCAAGAATCAACAACAAGTGGGACACAATCGTGAAGTGGAACGAAATTTATTGGATAATTTTAACTTTTTTAACAAATAAAAAACTGAAAAGTAGGGCATGCAATATTATTCGGCCCCCTTGCGCTAATACTTTGTAGCGCCACCTTTTGCTGCAATTACAGCTGCAAGTCGTTTGGGGTATGTCTCTATCAGTTTTGCACATCGAGAGACTGGAATTCTTTCCCATTCTTCCTTGCAAAACAGCTCAGGCTCAGTGAGGTTGGATGGAGAGCGTTTGTGAACAGCAGTCTTCAGCTCTTTCCACAGATTCTGGATTGGATTCAGGTCTGGACTTTGACTTGGCCATTCTAACACCTGGATACGTCTATTTGTGAACCATTCCATTGTAGATTTGGCTTTATGTTTTGGATCATTGTCCTGTTGGAAGATAAATCTCCGTCCCAGTCTCAGGTCTTTTGCAGACTCCAACAGGTTTTCTTCCAGAATGGTCCTGTATTTGGCTCCATCCATCTTCCCATCAATTTTAGCCATCTTCCCTGTCCCTGCTGAAGAAAAGCAGGCCCAAAGCATGATGCTGCCACCACCATGTTTGACAGTGGGGATGGTGTGTTCAGGGTGATGAGCTGTGTTGCTTTTACGCCAAACATATCGTTTTGCATTGTGGCCAAAAAGTTCGATTTTAGTTTCATCTGACCAGAGCACCTTCTTCCACATGTTTGGTGTGTCTCCCAGGTGGCTTGTGGCAAACTTTAAACGAGACTTTTTATGGATATCTTTGAGAAATGGCTTTCTTCTTGCCACTCTTCCATAAAGGCCATATTTGTGCAGTGCACGACAGACTCTCCCACCTCAGCTGTAGTTATCTGCAGTTCATCCAGAGTGATCATGGGCCTCTTGGCTGCATCTCTGATCAGTCTTCTCCTTGTTTGAGATGAAAGTTTGGAGGGACGGCCGGGTCTTGGTAGATTTGCAGTGGTCTGATACTCCTTCCATTTCAATATAATTGCTTGCACAGTGCTCCTTGAGATGTTTAAAGCTTGGGAAATCTTTTTGTATCCAAATCCGGCTTTAAACTTCTCCACAACAGTATCTCGGACCTGCCTGGTGTGTTCCTTTGTCTTCATGGTTCTCTCTGCGCTTTAAACAGAACCCTGAGACTATCAAAGAGCAGGTGCATTTATACGGAGACTTGATTACACACAGATGCATTCTATTTATCATCATCAGTCATTTAGGACAACATTGGATCATTCAAAGATCCTCACTGAACTTCTGGACTGAGTTTGCTGCACTGAAAGTAAAGGGGCCGAATAATATTGCACGCCCCACTTTTCAGTTTTTTATTTGTTAAAAAAGTTTAAATTATCCAATACATTTCGTTCCACTTCACGATTGTGTCCCACTTATGGTTGATTCATGACAAAAAATTAAAATTTTATATCTTTATGTTTGAAGCCTGAAATGTGGCGAAAGGTTCAAGGGGGGCGAATACTTTCGCAAGGCACTGTAACTTGCAGCTGTACTGTCAAGATGCTGCGTTCAATAAGAACGCAGCATCTTGAAATGAGCTGCTCTTCTTTTCGCTGCAGAATCCAGCAGAGTGGAGTAAAGTCAGCGCTCGCAGTGTGGGTGCTTTAAACTCTGTCCGTGGGTTCAGGATCACAGCGCTGCGTCTGCAACAGATGCCGGCTCCGTTGTGTCTTTGGTGTGTGTTTGTGTGACTGTGGTGTGTGTTTGTGTGACTGTGGTGTGTGTTTGTGCGACTGTGGTGTGTGTTTGTGCGACTGTGGTGTGTGTTTGTGTTTTCTGAGCGCAGGACGCCGTGGGCGCTGCAGAGGTGACCTGCTGCCACACTGAAGAGGGCTGTGAAACACACACACACACACACACACACACACACACACACACACACACACACACACACACACACACACACACACACACACACAGGGCTCAGGAGCAGAGCAGGGGAAGGTGTGATGAGGACAGGCCCTTATAGACAATCTGTACAGACACAATTAAAGATAGATTAATACATAGATATACACACATATTGAGAGCGAGAGAGAGAGAGAAAGAGACAGAGAAAGAGGTGAATAAAGAGAGAGAGACAGAGAAAGAGAGAGAAAGAGGTGGATAAAGAGAGAGAGACAGAGAAAGAGAGAGAAAGAGGTGGATAAAGAGAGAGATTGATAGACAGATACTTTATCGATCCCCGTTGGAGAAACTCAGGTGTCAAAAAGCAGAAATCACAAACATGTGACAAAATCCACAGTATTATCCACATGTTCCATAATCACTCGTTCCTCTCTGTCTTCCACAGGTGTGTATGGTTGGCCTCTTTCACACCATCAGATTGTTGTACAGCCCTGAATAGCAGCAGTAGTTATTTTGGAAAGTTGTCGATTGGCCAACACAGATCAGAAAATCAAACACCGCTGTCCCTCGACCTCCCGCGTCTGCAAATCTATAAAACCCATAACATAACGATTGCGATTCACAAAAGATAGATTAAGATAATTAGTGTCTAACAAGAAGGACCAGAGAGGATCCAGGACACTGTATCCTTCTACATGTGTGGACCATCAACACTCTCCCTATGGACCAATACACACAGTATGTGCATGTGTCTTAAAGGTGCGGTAAGCGATTTTGTTAGCTTAGCCGTAACACCACCTGGAAACCACTCCCCCCTCCCCTCCCTCTCCACCAAACCCCGCCCCCTCCCCTCCCTCTCCACCAAACCAAACATCCAGCATTTTCTTTTCTTTGTCACAGGGAGAGTGAAGCCATTTAAAGGGCCCATATCACGGTTTTTGACTTTTCTCTGCTTTAAACATGATTACAATGCTATTTGGCCTCATACACAAGCCCACAGTAGTTTATTCATTGATTCTGTCAATCTTTTGTAAGAGAACAATCTGTCTCCTACCCCAGCGTGAGGCACAGAAACGCTCGGGTCCACTTCAGTGACGAAAACCACACTGATGACGCGCATGACCCCGTTTGCTTTGTATTTAAAATAGTTGTTAAATACTTTTGTCAAAACGGGGTAAACAATACACAATTGTTATGCTGTTTTTTGTCAAAAATAATAAAAATAAAAATAAATTAAAAGCCGGCGGGAGGTGATTGACGGATCAAAACAGCGAATCAGAGCGCACAGGCTCCGGCTCCCGAGTCCAGCGTCTGTGGTCTGGTCTCGCGGACACCACATAGAGCTGCTGTTTTTATGCTTTTGTCAGAAACTAAAAGTGTTTGGATCACGTCAACTTGAATGAAGTGTGTTATGGGTGTAAATATGTGATGCACTATTTGGCCCTAAGAGGAAGAAAGCGGCTCGACTTTTTTCATCTGTTCATCTCATGGATCTATTATAATACCGGTTCATCTGCGACACTTCACTGAGACTGTTCCAGAACTACAGGGACAATGGAACTGGACTTACTCAAAGGCTGATCTGGAAACACGTTATTCCTACGGTAAAAGACGTAACTCGGACCCCCTCGATCTGTAAGTAGTGACGCTAACTCGCTGTATACTTCTGTAAACTAAATAACTAGGGTCTGATTGTGCATCGAGGACATAGGGCTCGATGTGACGGATTGTCATTGTTGGAAAAAGTTTATTCTTATGTATGAAATGACTAAGTACAGGTGATAAACGACAAAAGCGTGATGCTACGTCAGCGTGCGGGCGGGGGGAGGCGGGTGAGGGCGGGGGGAGGCGGGTGAGGGCGGGGGGAGGCGGGTGAGCGTGGGGGAGGCGGGTGAGGGCGGGGGGAGGCGGGTGAGGGCGGGGGAGGCGGGCTCACAGGCAGAGGAGCAGACTCTTCTCTCACCTCTACACAAGAGATGGCTCTAATCTCACAAGCTTTGATTGTTGTGTGGTGTATCATACACATTAATATCACACATGTGCATAGGATTGAGTGTGAAACATGAAGAAAAGCGTGATATAGGACCTTTAAGGTTTTAGAAAATCCGATAACTCCGGAGCATTCACGAGAAACAGGAAGAGGGTGAAGGCGGTAAACACATCCCATTGGTTCGTTGAGAATGAACGAATTGCATTGGTCTATTTTTATTGGTCCGCTCAAAAATATTTTATTATTACATTTTGTAGACTATATGTGGTCAATTCCATTACTATTTGAAAACACATGATAACTTGATACTTTTAGGATTTATATTTTTAAAAATGCGTCTGGAAAACTTTAACTGTTGATTCTGGTTTTGTTAAGTCTCTGAGATGACGCTGTTGTGATTTAGGGCGATACAAGAATAATTTATATTGTAAATTGTAGTGAATATACTTGAAGGCAACAAGAACCTGCAGAAGAATCCTCTCAGAAACAGTCCCGTAGACTCATTATTTGCCCAAAGGAAGTATCTGTATCGTCTCACAGCGGGTTCTCAATCTGGGTCAGCTCCAGCGTACGCCATTCCCCGCACGGTTTATCTAAGGACGAGATGTTAGTGTTTGAACCGCTTTCCCCTCACCGCCCGCCCCTTCGCAGGAGTATTTGCTCGGGTAATTGGAGGGTTAATTTAAAATTTAAACAGAGGTCTTCACCCACATATGCACTTGAAACGGCAGAATGCAAATAGCACAACATGGACGCCAACACGCGGGCTCGGAATCCGCCTCATTAATGCCATGCCTGAGTTCGGCCAGAGTTCGCCAGTCGCCCTGGGCTTCGCAAAAACAGGCAAACACACATTTAATTAATCCATCATGAATTTTTCAAAATTACAGCCCTTTATGTGGGATTATTACTATTATTTAGGTTCGGTGGTTGTGGATGAATTATGGTGCGAAAAGCGGCACAGCTTGTATTCATTTTAATTAATCTCCAACTGCAGGGAGGTGGGAAATGGCTTCTTATCTTCTGCCAAGTGTGGACCACCTAGAGCAGGAGAGCAGCAGACGGCCAGAGTCAGGGCCTGGGTATGAGCAGGTGGAAGTCCCCAAACAGCTGATGATGCCGTGTGTACGACTTCACACTGATTTGAACTTAACAAATGAAGCAAACACCGGTCGTTTGATTAAGAGTTTTTCAATCTGAAGAGACCAAAGACAGACAATTAATACATTCAAATGATGTATTTATTTGGCATCTGCTGATCATCTGCTGCTGTAGATGGTCTCAGATCCCCCGGGGTCAAGCACTGGTGGTGGCTAGAGTATGGTGTGAATGGGGCGGGAGCCAGAGCAGGAGCCAGAGCAGGAACCAGAACAGGAGCCAGAGCAGGAGCCAGAGCAGAAACCAGAACAGGAGCCAGAGCAGGAGCCAGAGCAGGAGCCAGAGCAGAAACCAGAACAGGAGCCAGAGCAGGAGCCAGAGCAGGAGCCAGAGCAGGAGCCAGAGCAGGAGCCAGAGCAGAAACCAGAGCAGGAGCCAGAGCAGGAGCCAGAGCAGGAGCCAGAGCAGGAGCCCGAGCTGGAACCAGAGCAGGAGCCAGAGCAGGAGCCAGAGCAGAAACCAGAACAAGAGCCAGAGCAGGAGCCAGAGCAGGAGCCAGAGCTGGAACCAGAGCAGGAGCCAGAGCAGGAGCCAGAGCAGGAGCCAGAGCAGAAACCAGAGCAGGAGCCAGAGAAGGAGCCAGAGCAGGAGCCAGAGAAGGAGCCAGAGCAGGAGCCAGAGCAGGAGCCAGAGCATGAGCCAGAGCAGGAGCCAGAGCAGGAGCCAGAGCAGGAGCCAGAGCTGGAACCAGAGCAGGAGCCAGAGCAGGAGCCAGAGCAGGAGCCAGAGCAGAAACCAGAACAAGAGCCAGAGCAGGAGCCAGAGCAGGAGCCAGAGCAGGAGCCAGAGCAGAAACCAGAACAAGAGCCAGAGCAGGAGCCAGAGCAGGAGCCAGAGAAGGAGCCAGAGCAGGAGCCAGAGAAGGAGCCAGAGCAGGAGCCAGAGCAGGAGCCAGAGCTGGAACCAGAGCAGGAGCCAGAGCAGGAGCCAGAGCAGAAACCAGAACAAGAGCCAGAGCTGGAGCCAGAGCAGGAGCCAGAGCTGGAACCAGAGCAGGAGCCAGAGCAGGAGTCAGAGAAGGAGCCAGAGAAGGAGCCAGAGAAGGAGCCAGAGCAGGAGCCAGAGAAGGAGCCAGAGAAGGAGCCAGAGCAGGAGCCAGAGCAGGAGCCAGAGCTGGAACCAGAGCAGGAGCCAGAGCAGAAACCAGAGCAGGAGCCAGAGCAGGAGCCAGAGCTGGAACCAGAGCAGGAGCCAGAGCAGGAGCCAGAGCAGGAGCCAGAGCAGGAGCCAGAGCAGGAGCCAGAGCAGGAGCCAGAGCAGGAGCCAGAGCAGGAGCCAGAGCAGGAGCCTGAGCTGGACGGAGGTGGTGGGTGTTAAGAGCTTCAGGAAGTGGCCGCCTTTTAAACTGCCCGCTTTGCTGTCAGAGGGTTGGCAAGAGGCTGGCCGGGCTGGGTGATTGGTTGGCCTGGATGGGGGGAGTTGCACCCGGTCTTTCAGTCTGAATTTGCGCTTAAGCTTCATAACGGATTGTTTTGAGAGAGGCCGTCGTTGCCTGGTGTTGCATTATGAGAGATAAGGGCAACGGATGATGTCACATATAAGGCTTTTTAAGAATGGTCCCATGCAAAGGGTTTGGCCTCCCCATGGGCAGAAGAACACTGCAAAAAATGACAGTGAGGTCAGGCTCCTTTTGTGGCACCTGCCACAGCTGATCAGTGGCATGTACACAACAAATGGCGTTTACAACGGCATGTGGACAACAAGTGGCGTTTAAAACGGCATGTGGGGAATAAATGGCGTGTAAAGCGGCACGTGGACAACAAATAGCGTTTAAAACGGCATGTGGACAACAAGTGGCGTTTAAAACGACATGTGGACAACAAGTGGCGATTAAAACAGCATGTGGGGAATAAATGGAGTGTAAAGCGGCATGTGGGCAATAAATGGCGTGTAAAGTGGCATGTGGGCAATAAATGGCGTGTAAAGCGGCACGTGGACAACAAATGGCGTGTAAAGCGGCATGTGGGCAATAAATGGCGTTTAAAACGGCATGTGGGGAATAAATGGCGTTTAAAACGGCATGTGGGGAATAAATGGCGTTTAAAACGGCATGTGGGGAATAAATGGCGTTTAAAATGGCATGTGGGCAATAAATACAGTTGAAAGCAGCCTGTACAAAAGACATCAAGCAGCTTTAGTGGAGCTAGTGGTCCAGTGGCCCAGATGGAAAAGCACAAGTCTACGGTTTCGATGGTTGCTAGTTCAAATCCCCAGTGACTACCAATGACATTTGCTGATGTTGGGTCCTTGGGCATAACACTTCATGAAGAATGTCAGAAGTGCCATAAATTGTTTGAAAAATAATTAACTGTCTCTCATGCGGAAGATTTCTGGTTCAAATCCAGGACTGGTCGTTATTTATTTTTTGTCAGATTAAATACAAATTTAAAGGAAAAATCATTTTATTTCTCTCTCTTCTTTAATAAAACCACATCAGAATCATGGAACAATAAGAAAGAGCATTAATACATATATTTTTTTATAAAATAATGCAAAGTATAAGACACAGCTTAAACGGTCCAAGAACAGAAATGAAGATTTTAACAATATAGAGATGAAACCTCATGTTCCAATTACACAACTTTCTGCTTGTATTTTTCAATCCATCACTCTTCACCATCTCTGGTTGGCTCCATTCTTGATGAAATGTCCTAAAACAACAATAGAATCTTTCGGTTTTTTCTTTGCCGAAACACAAAAACCTCCCTGGGGAGGTGTTCCGGGCACGTCCCACCGGGAGGAGGCCCCGCGGAAGACCTAGGACATGCTGGAGGGACTATTTCTCTCAGCTGGCCTGGGAACGCCTTGGGGTCCCCCCGGACGAGCTGGAGGAAGTGTGTGTGGATAGGGAAGTCTGGGCGTCTCTGCTTAGACTGCTGCCCCCGCGACCCGGCAACGGATAAAGCGGAAGGAAATGGATGGATGGATGGACAAAATAAGTGGCGCAGTCATCAAACATTTGTCTATAGTGCGTAAGATTGGCAGATCAATTCAAACTACATTTTTCAAACAATTTATGGCACTTCAATCTCCATGAAGTGTTATGCCCAAGGACCCAACATCAGCAAATGTCATTGGTAGTCACTGGGGATTTGAACTAGTAACCATCAGCACTATAGTCCTGTGCTTTTCCATCTGAGCCACTGCACCATTATCTCTAACGCTGCTGCTTGTTGTCTTTTGTACAGGCTGCTTTCAACTGTATTTGTTTTACACGCCATGTATTCCCCACATGCCGTTTTAAACACTACTTGTTGTCCACATGCCGTTTTAAACGCCACTTGTTGTCCACATGCCGTTTTAAATGCCACTTGTTGTCCACATGCCGTTTTAAACGCCATTTGTAGTCCACATGCCGTTTTAAACGCCACTTGTTGTCCACATGCCGTTTTAAACGCCACTTGTTGTCCACATGCCGTTTTAAACGCCACTTGTTGTCCACATGCCGTTTTAAACGCCACTTGTTGTCCACATGCCGTTTTAAACGCCATTTGTAGTCCACATGCCGTTTTAAACGCCACTTGTTGTCCACATGCCGTTTTAAACGCCACTTGTTGTCTACATGCCGTTTTAAACGCCACTTGTTGTCCACATGCCGTTTTAAACGCCATTTATTGCCCACATGCCGTTTTAAACGCCACTTGTTGTCTACATGCCGTTTTAAACGCCACTTGTTGTCCACATGCCGTTTTAAACGCCATTTATTGCCCACATGCCGTTTTAAACGCCATTTGTTGTCCACATGCCGTTTTAAACGCCACTTGTTGTCCACATGCCGTTTTAAACGCCACTTGTTGTCCACGTGCCGTTTTAAACGCCATTTATTGCCCACATGCCGTTTTAAACGCCATTTGTTGTCCACATGCCGTTTTAACCGCCATTTGTTGATGTACATGCCACTGATCAGATGTGGCAGGTGCCGGTGCCACCAAAGGAGCCTGCCCTTTTCAAAAATGATCAACTCTGAGATAATTATTTCTTGAATTCAGTATTTAAATTTTAGTCCATTCTGATTGTGTTAAAACAAGATTCTCCAAATCATTCCAAAGAAGACATTTCTTTTTAAAACAACATCTTTTTTTTTTTTGTCCCATTGAGGAATCTTATTTTAAGGCAGAATGCGCTCAAGTTAAGTTGGGGTTGGGGGGGGTGTTGGTGGGTGGTGGGGGGGTGGTGTGTGGGGGGTGTGGGGGGGGTTGGTGTTTGGGTAGTTGGGGGTTGGGTGTGGGGGTGGTGGTGGGTGGGGGTGGGTGTTTGGTGATTCATTTGTGGGTGGGGGGGTGGTGGGGGGGGTGTTGTGGGGGTTGTGTGGGGGGGGTTTGGGGTTGGGGTTGTTGTTGTAGTGGTGAGTTGTGTGTGTTGGGTGGGGGGGTGTTTATTGGGTGTTAGGAATTTGGGGGGGTGGGGGGGGGTTGGGGGGTGGTGGGGGGGGTGGGTTGTGTTTGGTGGTTGTTGGTGTGGTGGGGTGGGGTGGGGGGTGGGGGTGTTGGGGTGGGGTGGGGTGGTGGGGGGTTGGGGGGGGGGGTGGGTGGGGTTGGTTGGTTGGTGGGTGGGTGGGGTGGGGGTTTGGGGGGGGGTGTGGGGGGGGGGGGGGGGGTGGTGGTGGGGGGAGGTGTAGGGTTGGGGGGGGGGGGGTGTGTTGTTGGTGGTGGGGGGTGTTGAGGTTTTGTGTGGTTGTTGGGGTTGTGGTGTGGGGTGGGGTTGGTGGGGGGGGTTGGGTGTGGTGGGTTGTGTTGGGAGGGGGGTGGGGGTTGGGGGGGGGGGGGGGGGGGGTGGTGTGTTTTTGGTGTGGGTGGGGTGGGGTGGGGGGGGGGGTGGGGGGGAGGGTGGGGGTGTTGGGGGGTGGGGGTGGGTGGGGGGGGGGTGGGGGGGGGTGTTGTTGTGGTGATTGGGGGGGTGGGGGGTGGGGGGGGGGGTGTGGGGGGGTGGGTTGGGGGGGGGTGGGTTGGGTGGGGGTGGTGGTGGGGGGTGGTTGTTGGGTTGTGGGTGGGGGGGTGGGGTGTGGGGGGGGTGGGGGGGGGGTGGTGTGGGGGTTGGGGGTGTGGTGGGTGGTGGGTGGTGTTGTGGGGTGGTTGGTGTTTTGGATTTGGGGTTTGGGGTGGTTGGGGTGGGGGGGGTGGTTGGGTGGTGTGTTTGGGGGTTGGGGGTGGGGGGGGGGGTTGGGGGTGTGGTGTTGGTGTTGTGGTTTTGGTGGGGGTGGTGGTGGGGGGGTGGGGGTGGGGGTTGGGTGGTGGTAGTTGGGGGGGGGGTGATTGTGGGTATTTTGGGGGGTTGGGGGGGGGGGGGTGGGGGGTTGGGGGGTTGGTGGGGTTTGGGGGGGGTTGTTGGGGGGTTGGTGGGTTGGGGGTGTGTGGGGGGGGTGGGTGGGTTGGGGTGGGTGGGGGTGGGGTGGGTGGGGGGGTTTGGGGGGGTGGGGGGTGGGGGGGTGGGGGGGGGGGGGTGGTAGAGGGGTGGGGTGGTGTGGGGGGTGGGGGGTGGGGGGGGGGGGGGTGTTGGTGGGGGGGTGGGGGTGGTGGGGGTGGGGGGGGTGGGGGGGGGGGGTGGGGGGGGGGGGGGTGGGGGGGGGGGGGGGTGGGGGGGGGTTGGGGTTGGGTGGGGGGGTTGTTGGTTTGTGTTTTGGTGTGGGGATTGGGGTGGGGGGTGTGGGGGGGTTGGGTGTGTGTTGTGGTGTGGGATGGTTAGGTTGGTGGTGGGGTGGGGGGGGTGGGTATGTGTTTGGGTTGGTGGGGGTTGGGGGGTGGTGGGGTTGTGGTGGGGTGGTGTTGGGGGTGGTTGGTGTTTGTGGTTTGTTTGTTTGTGGTTGGGGTGTTGGGGGGGGTGTTGGTTGGTGGGGGGTTTTGTTTGGGTGTGGTGGGGTGGGGGGGGGGGGGGGGGGTGGGT